TGTAAAAATTTCTTGTATGTATGTACCTTACCTAAATAAACATTTATTTATTTTATTTATTTATAAATAGTTCAGAAAAGCATATCCTATCTCCTTGATTCAGTGATTTATTGAACAATCAACACGGCGGTGGCAGCAAGGCGGGGCTGGGGTCGAGCACGGGGTGGCGGTGGCAGCAAGGCGGGGCTGAGGTCGAGCACGGGGTGGCGGTGGCAGCAAGGCGGGGCTGGGGTCGAGCACGGGGTGGCGGTGGCAGGAAGGCGGGGCTGGGGTCGAGCACGGGGTGGCGGTGGCAGCAAGGCGGGGCTGGGGTCGAGCACGGGGTGGCGGTGGCAGCAAGGCGGGGCTGGGGTCGAGCACGGGGTGGCGGTGGCAGCAAGGCGGGGCTGAGGTCGAGCACGGGGTGGCGGTGGCAGCAAGGCGGGGCTGAGGTCGAGCACGGGGTGGCGGTGGCAGAAAGGCGGGGCTGAGGTCGAGCACGGGGTGGCGGTGGCAGCAAGGCGGGGCTGAGGTCGAGCACGGGGAGGCGGTGGCAGCAAGGCGGGGCTGAGGTCGAGCACGGGGTGGCGGTGGCAGCAAGGCGGGGCTGGGGTCGAGCACGGGGTGGCGGTGGCAGCAAGGCGGGGCTGGGGTCGAGCACGGGGTGGCGGTGGCAGCAAGGCGGGGCTGGGGTCGAGCACGGGGTGGCGGTGGCAGCAAGGCGGGGCTGGGGTCGAGCACGGGGTGGCGGTGGCAGCAAGGCGGGGCTGAGGTTGTGCACGGGGTGGCGGTGGCAGCAAGGCGGGGCTGAGGTCGAGCACGGGGTGGCGGTGGCAGCAAGGCGGGGCTGGGGTCGAGCACGGGGTGGCGGTGGCAGCAAGATGGGGCTGAGGTCGAGCACGGGGTGGCGGTGGCAGCAAGATGGGGCTGAGGTCGAGCACGGGGTGGCGGTGGCAGCAAGGCGGGGCTGGGGTCGAGCACGGGGTGGCGGTGGCAGCAAGGCGGGGCTGAGGTCGAGCACGGGGCGGCGGTGGCAGCAAGGCGGGGCTGAGGTCGAGCACGGGGTGGCGGTGGCAGCAAGGCGGGGCTGGGGTCGAGCACGGGGTGGCGGTGGCAGCAAGGCGGGGCTGAGGTCGAGCACGGGGTGGCGGTGGCAGCAAGGCGGGGCTGGGGTCGAGCACGGGGCGGCGGTGGCAGCAAGGCGGGGCTGAGGTCGAGCACGGGGTGGCGGTGGCAGCAAGGCGGGGCTGGGGTCGAGCACGGGGTGGCGGTGGCAGCAAGATGGGGCTGAGGTCGAGCACGGGGTGGCGGTGGCAGCAAGATGGGGCTGAGGTCGAGCACGGGGTGGCGGTGGCAGCAAGGCGGGGCTGGGGTCGAGCACGGGGTGGCGGTGGCAGCAAGGCGGGGCTGAGGTCGAGCACGGGGCGGCGGTGGCAGCAAGGCGGGGCGGGGGTCGAGCACAGGGTGGCGGTGGCAGCAAGGCGGGGCTGAGGTCGAGCACGGGGTGGCGGTGGCAGCAAGGCGGGGCTGAGGTCGAGCACGGGGTGGCGGTGGCAGCAAGGCGGGGCTGGGGTCGAGCACGGGGCGGCGGTGGCAGCAAGGCGGGGCTGGGGTCGAGCACGGGGTGGCGGTGGCAGCAAGGCGGGGCTGGGGTCGAGCACGGGGTGGCGGTGGCAGCAAGGCGGGGCTGGGGTCGAGCACGGGGTGGCGGTGGCAGCAAGGCGGGGCTGGGGTCGAGCACGGGGCGGCGGTGGCAGCAAGGCGGGGCTGAGGTCGAGCACGGGGTGGCGGTGGCAGCAAGGCGGGGCTGGGGTCGAGCACGGGGTGGCGGTGGCAGCAAGATGGGGCTGAGGTCGAGCACGGGGTGGCGGTGGCAGCAAGATGGGGCTGAGGTCGAGCACGGGGTGGCGGTGGCAGCAAGGCGGGGCTGGGGTCGAGCACGGGGTGGCGGTGGCAGCAAGGCGGGGCTGAGGTCGAGCACGGGGCGGCGGTGGCAGCAAGGCGGGGCGGGGGTCGAGCACAGGGTGGCGGTGGCAGCAAGGCGGGGCTGAGGTCGAGCACGGGGTGGCGGTGGCAGCAAGGCGGGGCTGAGGTCGAGCACGGGGTGGCGGTGGCAGCAAGGCGGGGCTGGGGTCGAGCACGGGGCGGCGGTGGCAGCAAGGAGGGGCTGGGGTCGAGCACGGGGTGGTGGTGGCAGCAAGGCGGGGCTGAGGTCGAGCACGGGGCGGCGGTGGCAGCAAGGCAGGGCTGAGGTCGAGCACGGGGTGGCGGTGGCAGCAAGGCGGGGCTGAGGTCGAGCACGGGGTGGCGGTGGCAGCAAGGCGGGGCTGAGGTCGAGCACGGGGCGGCGGTGGCAGCAAGGCGGGGCTGGGGTCGAGCACGGGGTGGCGGTGGCAGCAAGGCGGGGCTGAGGTCGAGCACGGGGTGGCGGTGGCAGCAAGGCAGGCTGAGGTCGAGCACGGGGTGGCGGTGGCAGCAAGGCGGGGCTGAGGTCGAGCACGGGGTGGCTGTGGCAGCAAGGCGGGGCTGAGGTCGAGCACGGGGTGGCGGTGGCAGCAAGGCGGGGCTGGGGTCGAGCACGGGGGTGGCGGTGGCAGCAAGGCGGGGCTGAGGTCGAGCTCGGGGTGGCGGTGGCAGCAAGGCGGGGCTGGGGTCGAGCACGGGGCGGCGGTGGCAGCAAGGCGGGGCTGAGGTCGAGCACGGGGTGGCGATGGCAGCAAGGCGGGGCTGGGGTCGAGCACGGGGTGGCGGTGGCAGCAAGATGGGGCTGAGGTCGAGCACGGGGTGGCGGTGGCAGCAAGATGGGGCTGAGGTCGAGCACGGGGTGGCGGTGGCAGCAAGGCGGGGCTGGGGTCGAGCACGGGGTGGCGGTGGCAGCAAGGCGGGGCTGAGGTCGAGCACGGGGCGGCGGTGGCAGCAAGGCGGGGCGGGGGTCGAGCACAGGGTGGCGGTGGCAGCAAGGCGGGGCTGAGGTCGAGCACGGGGTGGCGGTGGCAGCAAGGCGGGGCTGAGGTCGAGCAAGGGGTGGCGGTGGCAGCAAGGCGGGGCTGGGGTCGAGCACGGGGCGGCGGTGGCAGCAAGGCGGGGCTGAGGTCGAGCACGGGGTGGCGGTGGCAGCAAGGCGGGGCTGGGGTCGAGCACGGGGTGGCGGTGGCAGCAAGATGGGGCTGAGGTCGAGCACGGGGTGGCGGTGGCAGCAAGATGGGGCTGAGGTCGAGCCGGGGTGGCGGTGGCAGCAAGGCGGGGCTGGGGTCGAGCACGGGGTGGCGGTGGCAGCAAGGCGGGGCTGAGGTCGAGCACGGGGCGGCGGTGGCAGCAAGGCGGGGCGGGGGTCGAGCACAGGGTGGCGGTGGCAGCAAGGCGGGGCTGAGGTCGAGCACGGGGTGGCGGTGGCAGCAAGGCGGGGCTGAGGTCGAGCACGGGGTGGCGGTGGCAGCAAGGCGGGGCTGGGGTCGAGCACGGGGCGGCGGTGGCAGCAAGGCGGGGCTGGGGTCGAGCACGGGGTGGCGGTGGCAGCAAGGCGGGGCTGGGGTCGAGCACGGGGTGGCGGTGGCAGCAAGGCGGGGCTGGGGTCGAGCACGGGGTGGCGGTGGCAGCAAGGCGGGGCTGGGGTCGAGCACGGGGCGGCGGTGGCAGCAAGGCGGGGCTGAGGTCGAGCACGGGGTGGCGGTGGCAGCAAGGCGGGGCTGGGGTCGAGCACGGGGTGGCGGTGGCAGCAAGATGGGGCTGAGGTCGAGCACGGGGTGGCGGTGGCAGCAAGATGGGGCTGAGGTCGAGCACGGGGTGGCAGTGGCAGCAAGGCGGGGCTGGGGTCGAGCACGGGGTGGCGGTGGCAGCAAGGCGGGGCTGAGGTCGAGCACGGGGCGGCGGTGGCAGCAAGGCGGGGCGGGGGTCGAGCACAGGGTGGCGGTGGCAGCAAGGCGGGGCTGAGGTCGAGCACGGGGTGGCGGTGGCAGCAAGGCGGGGCTGAGGTCGAGCACGGGGTGGCGGTGGCAGCAAGGCGGGGCTGGGGTCGAGCACGGGGCGGCGGTGGCAGCAAGGAGGGGCTGAGGTCGAGCACGGGGTGGTGGTGGCAGCAAGGCGGGGCTGAGGTCGAGCACGGGGCGGCGGTGGCAGCAAGGCAGGGCTGAGGTCGAGCACGGGTGGCGGTGGCAGCAAGGCGGGGCTGAGGTCGAGCACGGGGTGGCGGTGGCAGCAAGGCGGGGCTGAGGTCGAGCACGGGGCGGCGGTGGCAGCAAGGCGGGGCTGGGGTCGAGCACGGGGTGGCGGTGGCAGCAAGGCGGGGCTGAGGTTGAGCACGGGGTGGCGGTGGCAGCAAGGCAGGCTGAGGTCGAGCACGGGGTGGCGGTGGCAGCAAGGCGGGGCTGAGGTCGAGCACGGGGTGGCGGTGGCAGCAAGGCGGGGCTGAGGTCGAGCACGGGGGTGGCGGTGGCAGCAAGGCGGGGCTGAGGTCGAGCACGGGGGTGGCGGTGGCAGCAAGGCGGGGCTGAGGTCGAGCACGGGGTGGCGGTGGCAGCAAGGCGGGGCTGAGGTCGAGCACGGGGCGGCGGTGGCAGCAAGGCGGGGCTGAGGTCGAGCACGGGGTGGCGGTGGCAGCAAGGCGGGGCTGGGGTCGAGCACGGGGTGGCGGTGGCAGCAAGATGGGGCTGAGGTCGAGCACGGGGTGGCGGTGGCAGCAAGATGGGGCTGAGGGCGAGCACGGGGTGGCGGTGGCAGCAAGGCGGGGCTGGGGTCGAGCACGGGGTGGCGGTGGCAGCAAGGCGGGGCTGTGGTCGAGCACGGGGCGGCGGTGGCAGCAAGGCGGGGCTGAGGTCGAGCACGGGGCGGTGGTGTGGGTGAGGGCGAAGGGAGGGGAGGGGCTGGGGTCGAGCACGGGGCGGTGGTGGGGGTGTGAGCGAAGGGAGGGGAGGGGCTGGGGTCGAGCACGGGGCGGTGGTGGGGGTGTGAGCGAAGGGAGGGGAGGGGCTGGGGTCGAGCACGGGGCGGTGGTGGGGGAGGATGGAGGAGGAGTCAAGCAGGGTAGGACGCAGTATCTCCCTCAGTGTAGCCAAACACCGTGTGGAGTGCGAACGCAACACTCTCCGGCCCGTGTGAATAATTTAGCGTCTGGCAACTATAGTGAGTGAACAAAGTGTATTCATAACTATATTTCGATGCTTGCCATCTGAAACGGTGCTGAGCTGTGAGGGCGTTAAACAATCGCGTGAGTATAATACATAATTTGAACACGTTATAAAATACGTAGGTTGTGTTATAGTGGAATTTCGAGATTAAATCTATATGGCAATGTTAATTGAATTTATTACTGTACCACCATAACAGTTTTGTACACTGCAGAGTATGTCATAAGTAAGTTATTAATTTATAAATATCTGCATGTCTCTTGAAATGTCGATAGATGGAGTAATTGGTGTGAATTTCACTTTGCCTCAAGTCTCCGAAATTTAGTTGATGTTCCTTCAATAGTGTCCAAGAAATGTGTAAGTACTTAATTCATAATGTGCTGCCCGAAATCTTAGCGAAGTATCCAAAATTTGCTTACTGTAGGTAATGCATGCACATGACTGTAAAGCTGCCGCCCAGTTGGGTGGGTGTGGAGCAAGACTAGTAACTGTGCGACTCACCATAGATGTAAAGTGGTTATCTCCTATCTTGAGATGATTTCGGGGCTTTTTAGTGTCCCGCGGCCCGGTCCTCGACCAGGCCTCCACCCCCAGGAAGCAGCCCGTGACAGCTGACTAACACCCAGGTACCTATTTTACTGCTAGGTAACAGGGGCATAGGGTGAAAGAAACTCTGCCCATTGTTTCTCGCCGGCGCCTGGGATCGAACCCAGGACCACAGGATCACAAGCCCAGCGTGCTGTCCGCTCGGCCGACCGGCTCCCTTGTATAGTGCCTTGTATAGTGACTGTTGTGAGCATTTTGTTGAATCACTTGTGACACAAAAGATTATTGATGTGTGTATTTGTGTGGGTGATTAAATATGTATGTATATATATATATATATATATATATATATATATATATATATATATATATATATATATATATATATATATATATATGTCGTACCTAGTAGCCAGAACGCACTTCTCAGCCTACTATGCAAGGCCCAATTTGCCTAATAAATCAAGTTTTCATGAATTAATGTTTTTTCGACTTCCTAACCTATCTAACCTAACCTAACGTATCTTTTTCCGCTACCTAACCTAATCAAACCTATAAAGATAGGTTAGGTTAGGTTAGGTAGGGTTGGTTAGGTTCGGTCATATATCTACGTCAATTTTAACTCCAATAAAAAAAAAATTGACCTCATACAAAATGAAATTGGTAGCTTTATCATTTCATAAGAAAAACATTTGAGAAAATATATTAATTCAGGAAAACTTGGCTTATTAGGCAAATCGGGCCTTGCATAGTAGGGTGAGAAGTGCGTTCTGGCTACTAGGTACGACATATATATATATATATATATAATACACACATTAAAATATAATATATTTTTTTTATTTTGAAAGTGGTTGGAAGCGGCGTCCGGTTCGTGCAGCCTGATGTTGTGTGGGTGTGAGGTAGCCTAATGTTGTGTGGGTGTGAGGTAGCCTTATGTTGTGTGGGTGTGAGGTAGCCTTATGTTGTGTGGGTGTGAGGTAGCCTTTATGTTGTGTGGGTGTGAGGTAGCCTTTATGTTGTGTGGGTGTGAGGTAGCCTGATGTTGTGTGGGTGTGAGGTAGCCTAATGTTGTGTGGGTGTGAGGTAGCCTGATGTTGTGTGGGTGTGAGGTAGCCTTTATGTTGTGTGGGTGTGAGGTAGCCTGATGTTATGTGGGTGTGAGGTAGCCTGATGTTGTGTGGGTGTGAGGTAGCCTTTATGTTGTGTGGGTGTGAGGTAGCCTAATGTTGTGTGGGTGTGAGGTAGCCTTTATGTTTTGTGGGGTGTGAGGTAGCCTAATGTTGTGTGGGTGTAAGGCAGCCTGATGTTGTGTGGGTGTGAGGTGGCCTTTATGTTGTGTGGGGTGTGAGGTAGCCTGATGTTATGTGGGTGTGAGGTAGCCTGATGTTGTGTGGGTGTGAGGTAGCCTTTATGTTGTGTGGGTGTGAGGTAGCCTGATGTTGTGTGGGTGTGAGGTAGCCTTTATGTTGTGTGGGTGTGAGGTAGCCTGATGTTATGTGGGTGTGAGGTAGCCTAATGTTGTGTGGGTGTGAGGTAGCCTTTATGTTGTGTGGGTGTGAGGTAGCCTGATGTTGTGTGGGTGTGAGGTAGCCTGATGTTATGTGGGTGTGAGGTAGCCTAATGTTGTGTGGGTGTGAGGTAGCCTAATGTTGTGTGGGTGTGAGGTAGCCTTTATGTTGTGTGGGTGTGAGGTTGCCTAACGTTGTGTGGGTGTGAGGTAGCCTTTATGTTGTGTGGGTGTGAGGTAGCCTGATGTTATGTTGGTGTGAGGTAGCCTAATGTTGTGTGGGTGTGAGGTAGCCTAATGTTGTGTGGGTGTGAGGTAGCCTTTATGTTGTGTGGGTGTGAGGTAGCCTTTATGTTGTGTGGGTGTGAGGTAGCCTAATGTTGTGTGGGTGTGAGGTAGCCTGATGTTATGTGGGTGTGAGGTAGCCTGATGTTGTGTGGGTGTGAGGTAGCCTTTATGTTGTGTGGGTGTGAGGTAGCCTTTATGTTGTGTGGGTGTGAGGTAGCCTGATGTTATGTGGGTGTGAGGTAGCCTGATGTTATGTGGGTGTGAGGTAGCCTTTATGTTGTGTGGGTGTGAGGTAGCCTAATGTTGTGTGGGTGTGAGGTAGCCTTTATGTTGTGTGGGTGTGAGGTAGCCTAATGTTGTTTGGGTGTGAGGTAGCCTTTATGTTGTGTGGGTGTGAGGTAGCCTTTATGTTGTGTGGGGTGTGAGGTAGCCTGATGTTGTGTGGGTGTGAGGTAGCCTTTATGTTGTGTGGGTGTGAGGTAGCCTAATGTTGTGTGGGTGTGAGGTAGCCTGATGTTGTGTGGGTGTGAGGTAGCCTTTATGTTGTGTGGGTGTGAGGTAGCCTTTATGTTGTGTGGGGTGTGAGGTAGCCTGATGTTGTGTGGGTGTGAGGTAGCCTTTATGTTGTGTGGGTGTGAGGTAGCCTTTATGTTGTGTGGGTGTGAGGTAGCCTAATGTTGTGTGGGTGTGAGGTAGCCTGATGTTATGTGGGTGTGAGGTAGCCTGATGTTATGTGGGTGTGAGGTAGCCTTTATGTTGTGTGGGTGTGAGGTAGCCTAATGTTATGTGGGTGTGAGGTAGCCTAATGTTGTGTGGGTGTGAGGTAGCCTAATGTTATGTGGGTGTGAGGTAGCCTAATGTTATGTGGGTGTGAGGTAGCCTGATGTTGTGTGGGTGTGAGGTAGCCTTTATGTTGTGTGGGTGTGAGGTAGCCTTTATGTTGTGTGGGTGTGAGGTAGCCTTTATGTTGTGTGGGTGTGAGGTAGCCTTTATGTTGTGTGGGTGTGAGGTAGCCTTTATGTTGTGTGGGGTGTGAGGTAGCCTGATGTTGTGTGGGTGTGAGGTAGCCTTTATGTTGTGTGGGTGTGAGGTAGCCTAATGTTGTGTGGGTGTGAGGTAGCCTTTATGTTGTGTGGGTGTGAGGTAGCCTGATGTTGTGTGGGTGTGAGGTAGCCTAATGTTGTGTGGGTGTGAGGTAGCCTTTATGTTGTGTGGGGTGTGAGGTAGCCTGATGTTGTGTGGGTGTGAGGTAGCCTTTATGTTGTGTGGGTGTGAGGTAGCCTAATGTTGTGTGGGTGTGAGGTAGCCTGATGTTGTGTGGGTGTGAGGTAGCCTGATGTTGTGTGGGTGTGAGGTAGCCTGATGTTGTGTGGGTGTGAGGTAGCCTGATGTTGTGTGGGTGTGAGGTAGCCTTTATGTTGTGTGGGTGTGAGGTAGCCTTTATGTTGTGTGGGTGTGAGGTAGCCTGATGTTGTGTGGGTGTGAGGTAGCCTTTATGTTGTGTGGGTGTGAGGTAGCCTTTATGTTGTGTGGGTGTGAGGTAGCCTTTATGTTGTGTGGGTGTGAGGTAGCCTTTATGTTGTGTGGGTGTGAGGTAGCCTAATGTTGTGTGGGTGTGAGGTAGCCTTTATGTTGTGTGGGTGTGAGGTAGCCTAATGTTGTGTGGGTGTGAGGTAGCCTAATGTTGTGTGGGTGTGAGGTAGCCTAATGTTGTGTGGGTGTGAGGTAGCCTTTATGTTGTGTGGGTGTGAGGTAGCCTGATGTTGTGTGGGTGTGAGGTAGCCTAATGTTGTGTGGGTGTGAGGTAGCCTTTATGTTGTGTGGGTGTGAGGTAGCCTTTATGTTGTGTGGGTGTGAGGTAGCCTTATGTTGTGTGGGTGTGAGGTAGCCTAATGTTGTGTGGGTGTGAGGTAGCCTTTATGTTGTGTGGGTGTGAGGTAGCCTTTATGTTGTGTGGGTGTGAGGTAGCCTTTATGTTGTGTGGGTGTGAGGTAGCCTTTATGTTGTGTGGGTGTGAGGTAGCCTTTATGTTGTGTGGGTGTGAGGTAGCCTTTATGTTGTGTGGGTGTGAGGTAGCCTTTATGTTGTGTGGGTGTGAGGTAGCCTTTATGTTGTGTGGGTGTGAGGTAGCCTTTATGTTGTGTGGGTGTGAGGTAATGTTGTGTGGGTGTGAGGTAGCCTAATGTTGTGTGGGTGTGAGGTAGCCTAATGTTGTGTGGGTGTGAGGTAGCCTAATGTTGTGTGGGTGTGAGGTAGCCTTTATGTTGTGTGGGTGTGAGGTAGCCTAATGTTGTGTGGGTGTGAGGTAGCCTAATGTTGTGTGGGTGTGAGGTAGCCTGATGTTGTGTGGGTGTGAGGTAGCCTGATGTTGTGTGGGTGTGAGGTAGCCTAATGTTGTGTGGGTGTGAGGTAGCCTTTATGTTGTGTGGGTGTGAGGTAGCGTAATGTTGTGTGGGTGTGAGGTAGCCTTATGTTGTGTGGGTGTGAGGTTATGTTGTGTGGGTGTGAGGTAGCCTTATGTTGTGTGGGTGTGAGGTAGCCTTTATGTTGTGTGGGTGTGAGGTAGCCTTTATGTTGTGTGGGTGTGAGGTAGCCTTTAATGTTGTGTGGGTGTGAGGTAGCTTTATGTGTGTGTGGGTGTGAGGTAGCTGATGTTGTGTGGGTGTGAGGTAGCCTTTATGTTGTGTGGGTGTGAGGTAGCCTGATGTGTTGTGTGGGTGTGAGGTAGCCTTTATG